TTTTTTTTTCAGAAGGAAATGGATAAAGAGATGAGGGTGAAGGATGGCCTGGAACGTTTCCTTGCAACTGGCCAAATCAGCCGTAAGCTGCAGGATGAATCAAAAAGTATGCTGTTTGACTCAAAAGCAAAAATTGCTTTACTTCGTATGCAAATTGAGAAGATCCAGCGACAAGAGCAAGTGGATGCTGGTCGATGTGGTTTGCTTTGTATCCTTCTGTACTTCTAGAAATTGTAGTCTTATTTTATTGCTTCTAAGATTACCGGAACCACAGGGCGCCCAGATGGGTATCCCATGTTATTGATGTTACTGGAATTTTGTTATCAATAAATAACTTTTGTCACGGGTCTGCTGTGGTGGATCAGTAACTGGAGGGCTAATTGATGCTGAGAATCTCAGATTTCTAAAAGATACTCATGCGCGACGTTTTTGACATTCAAACTGATTTCTGCTGTGTGGACTCTTGTAGATGAAGGAATTGGTGGGCGTCACATGAAGAAAATGAGAAAGGTTGAAAATTGGTGTGGGAACTAGGCGAAAGAAGCTTTTTTTGTGCAAACGAGGTTTATTTCTTATAAAAAGTCACTTTCCAGGTAAAACCGCGCAAACGAAAACAGAAATGATTGTTGACGATCTTTTATATAGGCTTCGCAAGGAAGCCGCGATCGCTGAAGGAGCACGAAATATGATCAGGTAATACCGCATTCTAGGAAGTCATGACAGAGAGTGAAGGAGAGAGAAGACGAAAAGGGGCAAAAAAAGAGCCTGTCAGTTCTCCGCCCTGCTCAGTGATATTGCTCTTTCCGTGTAATTTCGCTGAATTCGCTTGGATCCTGTCATTTCGTCGGCTGGAGTCTTACTCTTCACTTAACACTGGGTGGGCATCTTTTAACAGTGCTTTGTGAAAATCTGTCATCTGCTCATATTTGTAGGCAGGCAGTTAGAAAGAATTTTTTGTTTGAAAACTTTTATGAGAGTTTTTTTAGTTCTCGATTCGTTTTTCAGAATACTGAGTAGTCAGAGGAAAAGTGATGGGAAAAGTGTTGCACAAGCGTTTGATAATGAGATGCGATCGGAAGAAAAACTGGACTTAATCCGGTTGTCACTTGCAAAATACAGGTATACTATTCTGCAACATTTTTTTGGATCGGTAAAGTAGTAAGTTAGGGGTCTCGGATGAAATGTGATGATCAGCACTTGCCAGGGATGTCTCAAAATGGCTAAAGATTTGCTAAATGCGTTTGTCCGAAAAGTTACCGAGCTGGCTGTCTCTTCCATTCGAATTTAATTCTATTATTGTATCTGCTGACAGTTTGAATTTAATAGATGATTTGGGTTTCTTTTTTTCAGCGCCCAGTTACCGAATGACTCGGCGAAGAAGAATGAAATTCGTGATGCGATTTTGGAATCAGAGCGTTTGCTAGTAAATCCACAGCAACAGCGAACCGACGGGGCAGTAAGTCCACCACTTTCGGTGCCTGGAAGTCCACTACAGGTTTGCCTTGTAGTGTTTTTTAGCAGTTGTTTCTTTTAAATGTAAAGCATCAGCAGAAGTTTAAGCTTCCAAGTTCTCTTTCTCTACGACTACGAAGGCTCTTCGGGTAGCCGTCGTTCGGGTAATCGGTGTTGAATTCGATGCTGATTGTTCTATCGAGATTCACTTTCTTGTCAGTGGTTCTTTTTGAAATCTCTTCAGTGTCCACTTATTGATAGGATTATGCTGAATTGTTCCCCAAACGCCTGCTGTTTTTAGTGCTGTTATGCATCGTGCACTTAACTGAACCGACTCAACTGTATGGTAGATATAAGTTTACATAAATAAAAGTAAAAAGGAATACGTATGACTGAAAATAGTAGTTTTGGATGTTTGGTTTGAGAGTCCTGGGCTTCCTGGAGTGCTTGCTGTTTCGCGGTCAGGGTGGCATTCGCTACCTCGTCATCCTGGGAGCGTTTTCTGTCTTACTCTTCAATCAAGATGTAACTTTTATGGTTGATTCTAAGTATTTTGCATGAATTTGCAGGAGAATTCGAAAGCAGCAAGTTTACCGCGACAAGCTTTTTCGTCGAAGCGACCATTTGCACTGCCACTGTTGGCTGTTAGTGGACGTCTTGAAGTCCGGTAAATTGTTATTTAGTATTTGATGATAAATTTTATTTTTCATTTCGAAGCAATATTTTCCTTTTTGAAATAATATAAGAAACGTTACATATTAGGAATACCAAGACTATCAAGGCATTCGGTGTGGGAATTTCATGTTAGTGATGCCGCTGAGGTGCTTCCACACACAGTTAGGCCAGTGATATGTACATGCAATATTTGTGTATTTGCATTTCTCCTGCAACAGCAGTGTAAGCCAAATTAATGAATTTTTAATTTTGAGAATGTTTAGATTGATTGGTTGTCAAAACTTGATGGTCGACATACCACGTCGTTTACCGCGACCTGAAATTTCCTCGATGATTGCTATCGGTGGTGACAGTTTATCGGGTTTTTCACAGAAAAGTCGTAATACACGTGGATTGGGTCCACGAACTGCCAGGTTTGCTCAGAGATTTTTCGATAATTGCTGCATGATTGCATGATATTTAGTGACTTTCTGGAACTTGAGATGCTTATTGTTGCGGATAAGCTGCATATGTAGAATCTGTCAAAGACTTTGAAATATAGTATTTGCGAAACGTCCGACGAGAGAAACGGCAGGGCCAGGCGGAATTTCTGGATCTCAGCGTATCTGCGCTTTTTTATTAATTATTTATCCGATGGACAGGGCATGTTCCTTGCTTTTGTGTAGTTGTCGAGGCATGGTGCTCGTTTCTGGCATTGTTTAGATATCGAATGGTGCCTTAAACTGGAATGTGCATGCAGAAGAAGCACATTGCTTCGGATAGAAGGGTCTGGCTGTGCTGCCCGTGACAGGCAGCATCTTTTAGCAACTTTAGAATTCCATCTTGACCGATGGGCGAAGTTGCCGAAATGATTGTCTTTGTTATGATCGCCTTCATTGTTGGTGATTAAAGCACCTCTCGAATGAATAACCCTTGACTTGTTTCCAAAAGCATTTGAGTCAGATCTGTTAGGCGAGCCTTTTACAGCATGAGTTATAAAATGGCGAGCAAATGGTTGTTTATTTATGAACAGTTGTTGTCTTGGTAGTTTGTCGTTATTTAGTACTTTTTGATAGCTTTTGCATGCGTAATTTCCTTTTTTGCGAATCTTTCTCGTTCCTGTACTATTTCTTCAGAAATCTGGCTAGAATGCGAATCTGGATCATTTGCTAGTAATTTCTTTTGCAGGCTTATTTGTTTGTTTCCGGTTGTTGAATCATTTGTTCCTGATTAATTAGTTTACTTCGTGCTTCAAAAAAGCTCCTCTCTTTTACATAACTGAAAGCCAAAGTGTGCGGTTTCTGCCTACTTGTGCTTTGCCTAACTGCTATCATGGATACATTGCGAAAAAGTGGGAAAGGTCATCGTGCAGCTGCAGTGAGGTACTTTACGATTCGGTGTTCTGGAGATAGTCAAAATGAGAAATTCAGTCTTTTTCCTTTTTTGTGGCTGTCGAAGTATTTCACTGCAAAATGTTTTCTGCTGTAAAGCATTTGCTAGACACCTATTTTTACTGCACGTCTGTTTCTGCTTTTGTTATGCCTTTGCATGTGTGCCTATGTTTAACATCTGCTTGCATGTATTTATGTATGTATTTGCTTATGCATGTATGTATGTGTGTGTATGTGTGTGTGTGTGTGTGTGT